ACACTTCACGAGAGAAGTTAAATAGATTCCAGGGGGAGGGTAGGACCTTAACATCACCTCATGGAATCTAACCTTCTTTAACATAATGTTCATCCAATAAAATATGAAGATGGTTCGAAGTACTTAGATTTTGTCCTTGAAAATGTTTCATGACAGTTAAATTCGCTTATTTCATCTTGTAAAGGGAAAATCCTCAAAATCCAAGCAACTGGCTTTGTATGAACATTTAATTGATCTCTTGTTCATTGTGGAAGACCTTTCTCATCCATCTGTAAATGCTCGTCTTAAATCAGAAGGCAGCTACAGCCAACCAGTGTAAGTAGTATTGCATATATTACTTTTGTCCCCTCCCCCACCCCCCCTCAATTACCCATCTGCCAATGGAGTAATTGCAGTCAACCAGTGTAAGTAGTATTGCATATATTACTTTTGTCCCACCCCCTCCCCCCTCAATAACCCATATGCCAATGGAGTAATTGCAGTCAACCAGTATATTTTTTGGGATGCGGCTTAACACCCACTTTCGCCCCTTCCCTCCTTGTTAAAATTCGTCTGGCTGAAAGTTTATAGCATGAATTAAGTCTGTAAACACTATTGGATGCTTTATTGTGTGTCCATATTGAAAATCACCTAGTTTGTATCTTTCCATGGATTGATTTAAGGGAGGGGTGCAGGGGTTGTGCACCCCCCTAGCCTTGGCTAGAAGGTGTGCAAATTCCGCCACAAAATATTAATATAACAACCATTTAAACTAACACAACTGTCAAACATTATATTTTTCAGGGTCTCAAATGAAACCCACAAAAAATCTCACATGTGAATGACATAACGACACCCATAAAGGAGCCACCAAAATCTAATCCAACTGACCAAATGACATCTTCTAAAAACTAGAGCACCCCCCCTCCCCCTCCCCCACAAATTATCCTGGATTTATCCCTCCGATCTACATCTACAAACATGTAACAATACTCCCTGGTCTGAATGCAGATACAAAGTTATAGAGAAAAATAAAAACATTTCTAGCCCAGACTTCGGTCGCGACCGCACTCTCCCTGCGTACTCCGAGCAAAGCCTATCGCAGGTGATCTCGGGGTCTGATGGGCGGATGGTTGCTATTGCATCTCCCAAGTAGGATAGCGTGGAGGGGCCGAAATCTCCTACCGAAACGTTAACATGCGACGTTCTTGTGCCTTGCGCTTAAGAAGGTATCGGGAATCATGGCCAGAAAACGGGGTTTTTTTGCTTTCGAATTTTATCTTTTTGCTTATTTTACGAGTTCTTCTCATAAAATAAACCAAGCAATGTTTCAGTTAACTTCTTGTAACACTGTGCCTTTTTCTGACACTTCAACTTGTTTTATACAATTTTTTATTGGTTTATATCTTTCTGATTTAACTCTCTTATTCACTGTTTCTCATGTATCCCGAGCAAACCATCCAAGGGCTTCATACCAAACAAGGATTATCAAGTTCCCTTAGTTAAAATGCGACACTCTATTCCTCAACTATCTCTGAGTATTGGGAGGCATGGACCGAAAACTGGATTTTTTATTTTTAAAATTTGTCATTTTTCTAACCCAAAATGGCTAATATTTACTGTTACATTTCCCCGGGTCTCAAATCAAACCCACAAAAAATCTCACATGTGAATGACATGACACCCATGAAGAAGCCACCAAAGTCTAATCCAAACTAGACTGACCAAACGACGTCTTATAAAAACCACAGCAGGACCTCCACAAAATCCCTCTGGATACATCCTTGTATCGTTCTCTTGCAGAAAGACATTGGAAATCATTGCATCAGACGCATGCGCATATCTGGATGCTGTGTGTCAAACTGAGACACTTGATGAAATATTTAAGTCCAAGATTCACTTGTTCCCGCCAGATATCGAGAAGAAACTGGTTTCTATGACTGCTGACGAGACTGACAGGTTAATATATCGTTAGGTGGAACACAAAATATATTATTTTTTGTTCTAGTTTGGAGATGGTGGTTAAAACGCTCTTTAAAGCAGTTGGGGTCCATCACCCCTCAAGTTTAAGTTTATGGAGAGAATTTCTTTTAAAATTGTAGGTTAATTCATATACCAGAAATCAATGAGCTTACTGCCCAGGCAAATGTCATTGAAGGAGAGTTGAATAAACAAAGTGAGATTCTTAATGATCTTCAAACTAAGGTGAACGTTTAATTTTATTTTTCTGCTCATTTTCTGCAACTGTATATTTTAAAGCAATCTAAAACTTGAGATTTGTGATGGGCAATTTGTAGAGGATTTTAGGGAAAGGGTCTGCACTTCTTTGAGCCTTGGTTAGAGGGTGCAGGAGGGGTTTAGGGAAGGGGTCTGCACTTCTTTGAGCCTTGGTTAGAGAGTTTACAGGAGAGGTTTAGGGAAGGGGTCTGCACGTTTTTGAACCTTGGTTAGAGGGTGTGCAGGAGGGGCTTAGAGGAGGGGTCTGCACTTCTTTGAGCCTTGGTTAAAGGGTGTACAGGAGGGGTTTAGGGGAGGGGTCTGCACTTCTTTGAGCCTTAGTTAGAGGGTGTACAGGAGGGGTTTATGGGAGGGGTATGCACTCCTTTGATCATTGGTTAGATGGGGTGCAGGAGGGACTACCTACAAAGTATTAAAACACCTAAGTGTTCAGCAAAAGTAATCTGTAATTGTTATTAATGTTTAATGGAGCTCACTTACAAAATATCCCAATCTTTAGAATAACGTACCTGGTATCAGAAATTAATAAGAAAAAGTCTAACATGGTACAGCAATAGTCGATACTTGAATCCCATCCAAACTAGACCCCCCTTTCTACAAAAACATCATTGATCCATCCATCGTTTTACAAATATATTTTTTCCCGTAGTGCGTCATTGGTGATGATGCAGAAAGTTTGAGCAATGTCAGCAGAACGCTATCTCTAACGATGTCCACACTTTCTCAAACACTTGAAACGTTTTATCATTGTTATGAAACTGAGATAAAACAATGGTCGATAAGAGAGAAACCACACTTATCTGGTGGGTTATTGAATATCTCTTCTAAACGTACCAGTATTGTAATGTTCATCTTGTTGGTGGGTTATTGAATATCTCTTCTAAATGTACCAGTATTGTAATGTTCATCTTGTTGGTGGGTTATTGAATATCTCTTCTAAATGTACCAGTATTGTAATGTTCATCTTGTGGACTATCGATGTTTTTCCTCATGGGGAAAAGTGTTCCAAGATGTTTTTTTTAACAAAGTTACTCGAAGGAAAATTTTCATTTCTCGCAGAAATTGTTTCGAAATTATTTATAGAGGAAATTTTAGATATATAGGATGCGAAATCATTAACCCAGACGGCTTGGGTTTTGACATACGTACGAGCATTTATTTTCATGTGCAAACATGATTTTGTGCTTTATTTGCTAATTTATATGTTTTATGTGTTGCCTATAGAACTTGGTATCGTTTTTAAGCGAATATTCATACTGCTTGATAAACTTCTTCAGGTAAATCTTCTTCTTTTTCCTCGTCTTGCGTCATGTCGTTTTAAAACTGCTATATTTAATCATTTACACTAATTTTCCTGTACGTACTTTTAGATATTATCCAAGTTGGAGTTAACGAAGATGAGCTATCTGAAAATAAATGGTTTAGAAACATTCGACGGGGAAAGGAACACAGGTATACTAAATTGATTTCCACTCAATCCGCTTTAGTCATTATTTTGTATTTCTTGAAGAGATTTCATCGACCCTTTATTTCTATTTCTAGATCATTCATTACCATATGGGCAAGTCGCGTTGAACAAACTAAATGATTTCATCAACACACTGGAGCAATCGTTAAAAAGGAAAACTGAAGTTGAATATGACGATTCTGATTCACTCTAATACTTTTTCTATGGCGTCTTACTCTCACATTGTGCCAAGGTAGGACAATAATTTTCTATACATTCAGGAGTGGTATAATTGCATAATTCTCTTTTAATTCAGTCGACAAATCATTGATCAGGTGTGTGCATTATACGTAGTGGTAAAGCGCATGCGCATATCAGGAGATAGATTTTAAATTTCGGTGGGACTAGAAAAAAAATGGTAAGACTTGTGAATGCGAGTTTGTAGTATTTGTTCCTTGTAAGTTATCATTTGTTGACACATTGCCTCTAACCAACTTCGGTATGTTTTAATCTAACGATTGTCTTTTCCAATGCGTTTTTACCTTGGTATCTTTCTCCGAGGGATTTTGCTCGGTGGTCTTTACCAGAAGTTCTTTACCCGAGCGTCTTTCTCCGAGGGATTTTACTCGGTGGTCTTTACCTGGTGGTCTATACTCAAAATTTTCTCCTAAAGTCTTCACCCGAATCTTGATCTGTAAGCTTTCACCTTGTGTTGTTAATTTCAGAGTCTTTACCTGGAGGTGTTTACCTCAGGATATTTACCTTGGAGATGTTTACCCCAGAGTCTTTACTTGTGGAGGTGTTTGCCTCAGACTCTTTACCTGGAGATGTTTACCCCAGAGTCTTTACTTGTGGAGGTGTTTGCCTCAGACTCTTTACCTGAAGATGTTTACCCCAGAGTCTTTACTTGTGGAGGTGTTTGCCTCAGACTCTTTACCTGGAGATGTTTACCCCAGAGTCTTTACTAGTGGAGGTGTTTACCTCAGACTCTTTACCTGGAGATGTTTACCCCAGAGTCTTTACCTGTGGAGGTGTTTACCTCAGACTCTTTACCTGGAGATGTTTACCCCAGAGTCTTTACCTGTGGAGGTGTTTACCTCAGACTCTTTACCTGGAGATGTTTACCCCAGAGTCTTTACCTGTGGAGGTGTTTACCTCAGACTCTTTACCTGGAGATGTTTACCCCAGAGTCTTTACTTGTGGAGGTGTTTGCCTCAGACTCTTTACCTGGAGATGTTTACCCCAGAGTCTTTACTTGTGGAGGTGTTTACCTCAGACTCTTTACCTGGAGATGTTTACCCCAGAGTCTTTACCTGTGGAGGTGTTTACCTCAGATATTTACCCTGGAGATGTTTACCCCAGAGTCTTTACCTGTGGAGGTGTTTACCTCAGACTCTTTACCTGGAGATGTTTACCCCAGAGTCTTTACCTGGAGGTGTTTACCTCAGGATATTTACCTGGAGTGTTTACCCCAGAGTCTTTACCTGTGGAGGTGTTTACCTCAGACTCTTTACCTGGAGATGTTTACCCCAGAGTCTTTACCTGTGGAGGTGTTTACCTCAGACTCTTTACCTGGAGATGTTTACCCCAGAGTCTTTACTTGTGGAGGTGTTTACCTCAGACTCTTTACCTGGAGATGTTTACCCCAGAGTCTTTACCTGTGGAGGTGTTTACCTCAGACTCTTTACCTGGAGATGTTTACCCCAGAGTCTTTACCTGTGGAGGTGTTTACCTCAGACTCTTTACCTGGAGATGTTTACCCCAGAGTCTTTACCTGTGGAGGTGTTTGCCTCAGACTCTTTACCTGGAGATGTTTACCCCAGAGTCTTTACTTGTGGAGGTGTTTACCTCAGACTCTTTACCTGGAGATGTTTACCCCAGAGTCTTTACTTGTGGAGGTGTTTACCTCAGACTCTTTACCTGGAGATGTTTACCCCAGAGTCTTTACCTGTGGAGGTGTTTACCTCAGGATATTTACCTGGAGATGTTTACCCCAGAGTCTTTACCTGTGGAGGTGTTTACCTCAGACTCTTTACCTGGAGATGTTTACCCCAGAGTCTTTACCTGGAGGTGTTTACCTCAGGATATTTACCTGGAGGTGTTTACCCCAGAGTCTTTACCTGTGGAGGTGTTTACCTCAGACTCTTTACCTGGAGATGTTTACCCCAGAGTCTTTACCTGTGGAGGTGTTTACCTCAGACTCTTTACCTGGAGATGTTTACCCCAGAGTCTTTACTTGTGGAGGTGTTTACCTCAGACTCTTTACCTGGAGATGTTTACCCCAGAGTCTTTACCTGGAGGTGTTTACCTCAGGATATTTACCTGGAGGTGTTTACCCCAGAGTCTTTACCTGGAGATGTTTACCCCAGAGTCTTTACCTGTGGAGGTGTTTACCTCAGACTCTTTACCTGGAGATGTTTACCTCAGAGTCTTTACCTGTGGAGGTGTTTACCTCAGGATATTTACCTTGGAGATGTTTACCCCAGAGTCTTTACCTGTGGAGGTGTTTACCTCAGACTCTTTACCTGGAGATGTTTACCCCAGAGTCTTTACCTGTGGAGGTGTTTACCTCAGGATATTTACCTGGAGATGTTTACCCCAGAGTCTTTACCTGTGGAGGTGTTTACCTCAGACTCTTTACCTGGAGATGTTTACCCCAGAGTCTTTACTTGTGGAGGTGTTTACCTCAGACTCTTTACCTGGAGATGTTTACCCCAGAGTCTTTACTTGTGGAGGTGTTTGCCTCAGACTCTTTACCTGGAGATGTTTACCCCAGAGTCTTTACTTGTGGAGGTGTTTACCTCAGACTCTTTACCTGGAGATGTTTACCCCAGAGTCTTTACCTGTGGAGGTGTTTACCTCAGGATATTTACCCTGGAGATGTTTACCCCAGAGTCTTTACCTGTGGAGGTGTTTACCTCAGACTCTTTACCTGGAGATGTTTACCCCAGAGTCTTTACCTGGAGGTGTTTACCTCAGGATATTTACCTGGAGGTGTTTACCCCAGAGTCTTTACCTGTGGAGGTGTTTACCTCAGACTCTTTACCTGGAGATGTTTACCCCAGAGTCTTTACCTGGAGGTGTTTACCTCAGACTCTTTACCTGGAGATGTTTACCCCAGAGTCTTTACTTGTGGAGGTGTTTACCTCAGACTCTTTACCTGGAGATGTTTACCCCAGAGTCTTTACCTGGAGGTGTTTACCACAGGATATTTACCTGGAGGTGTTTACCCCAGAGTCTTTACCTGTGGACGTGTTTACCTCAGACTCTTTACCTGGAGATGTTTACCTCAGAGTCTTTACCTGTGGAGGTGTTTACCTCAGGATATTTACCTGGAGATGTTTACCCCAGAGTCTTTACCTGTGGAGGTGTTTACCTCAGACTCTTTACCTGGAGATGTTTACCCCAGAGTCTTTACCTGTGGAGGTGTTTACCTCAGACTCTTTACCTGGAGGTGTTTACCCCAGAGTCTTTACCTGTGGAGGTGTTTACCTCAGGATATTTACCTGGAGATGTTTACCCCAGAGTCTTTACCTGTGGAGGTGTTTACCTCAGGATATTTACCTGGAGATGTTTATCCCAGAGTCTTTACCTGTGGAGGTGTTTACCTCAGACTCTTTACCTGGAGATGTTTACCCCAGAGTCTTTACTTGTGGAGGTGTTTACCTCAGACTCTTTACCTGGAGATGTTTACCCCAGAGTCTTTACCTGTGGAGGTTTTTACCTCAGGATATTTACCCTGGAGATGTTTACCCCAGAGTCTACCTGAGGAGGTGTTTACCTCAGACTCTTTACCTGGAGATGTTTACCCCAGAGTCTTTACCTGGAGGTGTTTACCTCAGGATATTTACCTTGGAGATGTTTACCCCAGGATCTTTACATCCCAGACTCTTTACCTGGTAGTGTTTACCCCAGAATCTTTACCCTGGAGGGGTTTATCTTAGGGTCTTTACCCTGAGGTGTTTACCCAGAGTTTTTACTCTGGAGATGTTTACCCCAGACTCTTTACCTGGAAGTGTTTACCCCAGGATCTTTACCCTGAAGGTGTTTAACTCTGGTTATTTTCTTTGACTTTCGTCAAGCAGTAGTAGAAAGGGAGGCACTTTAAAATACTCTTCAAAAAACAAATACTTCTGCATAGAAGAAGCGCTCTAATTTTTACGCTCAGTGGTCAAAAACCTTTCAAAGAATAATATGCAGTGTCTGCAGGCGCATCATGTTGAGAGACGCGCTTGAAATCAACTCGAAGTCAAACACATGTTCAACGTTATTGTGTTTGCATTTGATGAGCAGCTTGTTTTAAGTGATTAATGGCAGTAACGACTTGAATTTTTTTGAAAGGAATAATGCCGTTCATATAGTTACGTTCAAGGCAATTATCGATGAATGAAACCATGTGTTCGTAGCGCTCATGTCAGCATACGACACACTCAGTTACTATAAATATACGAAATACAACATTATCGTTCGTACAGACATATGGGAACGCGAGTTTAAGTAAACATCCGACTGTATGCCACAAATATCGTGTGTCCTCTAAGTAATTTTTAAGTGCATTTGACAAACAAAGTTCGGCCGGAGCCAATAGAAAAACACCAATAGCACTTTATTCAACCTTGGTGGCATACATTTACATTGGCAAAGTGTAATAAAAAGGTTGAATGACGTTACGGTTCAGTGCAATCTTACTGATGTCAACTTCAGATATGGTTTGTTTTTGAACGAATCAGCGCATATATTTTTTTCATTGCGGAGAAGAAAGTCGTCTAGATTTTCCATTAAAGACATATCAGATGCAAGATGTCGAGTGTGGACGAAGAGCCACGGAATATAATGAAGACGAAGAAATTTTGGAAGGATATTACTGGAGAATATTTTGCTACATGTCTCTTAGTGTATGCCATCACGTCTGTATGTGATGTCGAGACAAATGATGACTATCTTGAATACTCACTGGTTTATGGCATGGCTACAGCCATTTTGGTTCAATGCTTTGGTGGCTTTTTAAACCCGGCGTTGGCAGTTGCCTTCACTTCTACCGGTCGACTACCCTTAACCAAAGGTGTTTTTATGATCATCGTCGAAGTTCTCGGAGGTAATTTCGTTTGTGTTATTTTTTGTACTGTTTAAAGTAGTATTCATTAATACAATAGCAATGTTTTCATGTTGTTGTTAAGATAAATAATGATACAATAACTGGTCACGGTGCTAGATATTAAGAACATCTTACATGGCGCTTGTATTCTTTTATTTTGATATAACAGACAACATTAAGCAGGTTGTTGCTATTGGAAGAAAGCGATGATTTTTTAGTATGATAAAGTAAAGGAATTATGGCACTCCAGTATATGCTTCAGGTTTATAACTTCCTATAGCATTGAATGACACATGTTTTAATCATTAGTTCTTCAAGGCCGCCATAAATGCCCTCTCACAGTTTGAAAATTTAGTATGCGCATCTGTGAATCATTTAATTTATTTTGTTCTCACGCTCGAAGCCCGAATGTCGCGTTATATTCGTTCAATTTTTAGAAGCACAGTAATTTGTCATTCATTTCGAACTGCTTTTCTATGATTTATTAATGATCCGTGAAATCTTTTAACAGTTATCGATGTATGTCATCGACACCCGGGTGATTTGACATAAAAAACTCAAAACTTGCAATTAACACCCGTTGCGTTTGGTGAGATTTTTTCATTTTCCATATGTTGACATTTGGGAATTTTGGATAGGTCGGCATCCATGTTACGTTAATGTTGTCTGAGCCAGAGCCCTAGTTTGAGCTACCTAACCGCCACCGGTTTCAAGGTGTCAGCTTGCTGCATTGTAATTAAACCCTTTGTTAAAATATTTATACAGCAGCCTAACCATTTTTAACTTACAACAGCTCAACAATTTCAAAATACAGATACTCAACAATTTTGAAATACAGTTGCTCAACAATTTTGAAATGCACATGCTCAACAATTTTAAAATACAGTTGCTCAACAATTTTAACTTCAATGTTATTGCTTTTGAAGTCGTGTCGAGTTTCGTTCTTGATAAAAATCGAGGTGTTTTTTTTTGGACACGTTAGGTATATCTGGTGCAGGGTTAACGTACATGTTAACACCGCCATCTTTACGTTTCAATCTTGGTGATACATTTCTTCACGATGATGTGTCAGCAATCCAGGGACTTTTCATCGAGTTTATTCTCACGCTTATTTTCACATTAAGCGTTTATGCTGCCACGGACATAAGACATTCCAAAGGTTATCTGAGGTCTCTTTTCTATGGTTTTGCGGTGACGCTTTGCAGCTTAATCGGGGTGAGTATTTTGGTTTTGTCCGCTTTACTTTTTGTCGAGGAATCTGCTCCTCGCGTGGCTCACTAACACACTCTTCGTTTTTAATCTTTTATTTATTTTACAAACAACAAATACAATCTATCATTGGTGTATTTCTACGCTATATATGTGTAAGAATTAGTTATTTACGTCTATTTATACCAATGGTAATTACTGCAAAACATAAGTCGAGCTTTCCTTTTACGTCATTCGCACTACTCACTTTTTCAACAAAAAAGAAGAATGAACTTAACAAACAAAGAACTCACAAAACGTACTTAAAATGAAGAAATGTTAACGGGAAACTGACTTAGTTACGATCTTTTTATTGCCATGCCTAAGAATTCTAGCCCACACTTTTCGTACTAAACTCTGTCGCCAGTGGAAATCATGAAGAACGACTTTCCTGTATGTTTTACGCATGCTGCCTAATTTTTCCAGCTGTTTACTTTAAGAGTGGATTAGGTATTACATTTTATGTATGTACTCCATCCTACAAATCTCGTTTTTAATTGGTATCTTGAAATCGGTGTGTATAAATAAACGTTATGTATGTATTATCTTCTGTCTCTTTCGTGTTTCTCATCATCCTCAACCAATTCAATAACCTCATTGCTTTCAACTAGTCAAAAACCACAAGATGCAGCATCAACCCTGCAGGTCTTTTGGACCAGCGGTTATTCGTGAACTTTCTGGAATGAGCAAGGGGAAGACAGTGGCAACAACATTGGGTAACGCGCTAATCTTTCGACCTATATAACCTTGTGTATTCCATTGTGTTGCTTAATGATGTTGTTGGTCATGATTGGAATTCAATTATTTCCATAATTTCTTAAAAGCACTATACATATTAAACATTTCAAGTTGACGTCAATGTCTTTAGAGTAAACATGGTTTGGCATTCAGTACAAGAATAACAAGAATAATTATGATTTCTATTTACAGCTATATATATATATTATAAGTGAGAGGTGTCGAATTGCTAGATGATGGAATTATTTACAAGTTGAATGTTGTTGTTGTTGTTGTTGTTCGTCCATCGCAAGCGATGATGACCTTGACCAGTTAACTCAAGAACTAGAAGATTGGGTACGGTGAGTTCTGAGGTGGCTAATGAGCCCAATCTTGGCACGGAATGTTCTTGAACACGAAGGGCAAACCAGAGATGCATCTGATGTTGAAGCACTGGCTGCTCTTGATTTCCAATATCTTGAATATCGTGCTGATGTGATGTATTTGTTTATTGAGGTTCGATTTGAGTTTTTTATCGAGCGCTACATAAAACTCATCACAATCAACACGATATTCAACTTGTTAATAATTCAATCATCTGGTAATTCTATACCTCTCATTTAAATAATATAAATATAGCTGTAAATAGAAATCATAATTATTCTTTGTACTTAAGATGGCATAAGCATGCCAAAACATGTTTACTCTAAAGAAAATTGACTTCTACTTGAAATGCTTAATTCAATGATTGAAATGCATTTTTATTGAATTTTTAGATTTATTGGATAGGACCAATTGGTGGTTCCCTGATGGCCGTAGTTGTTCAATACTTTTTATATTCAACACCTGGGGAGAAGCACGATGTTTCTGCTCGAAATAAGCGATCGTTTTGCAAAGAAAAAGAATACAGGAAAACTTCAACAAGGGATGATCGCCTTCCACAACATCAAGACCATTCTGTTGGCGTCTGATTTGAGAAATCTCAGACGGCCTTTTATTTCCTATGTCGTCATGTTGTTATGACGACACTGACATCAAAGTTATGTTTGCAGTTTGGTTTAAGTTGCGTTGGAAAGCGGCTGTGACTTTCACGTGCCCATGATGCATCTTGTTGACTGACGGTAGTTTTTCATCCCTGTACATAAGGATATACCGTGATGCATCTTGTTCGTAGACGGCACTCTTCATCTTCTTCATCTCTACTGATTAGGATATATTATGATGCATCTTGTTGATAGAGGACAATTGTTCGTATCTTTATCTCTACAGATTAGGATGTACTTGATTTTGATAGAGGACAATTGTTCGTATCTTTATCTCTACAGATTAGGATATACCATGATGCATCTTGTTGATAGAGGACAATTGTTCGTATCTTCATCTCTACAGATTAGGATATACCATGATGCATCTTGTTGATAGAGGACAATTGTTCGTATCTTCATCTCTACAGATTAGGATATACCATGATGCATCTTGTTGATAGAGGACAATTCTTCATATTTTCATCTCTACATATAAGGATATACCATGATGCATCTTGCTGACAGAATACAATTGTTCATGTCTTTATCTCTACAGATGGGGATGTACGATGATGCACAAATAGAGGACACTTCCTTCTTTTTATGGAACTGTTTCTGTTCGGCTTTTACTTGCTACCGAGAATGAGGAGCAGTAATGTTAGATTGCATCTGAGAATTTTCAGATTAAAGAATTTGTGCGTGATATGATAAATGTAATTTGTAAAAATAGAACGAGAATGTGTTCAAAATCATATTGTTATTGCAGTTGAAAAATGAAATACTGCGATTTGTTTGGTCAAAAAAACAAACAATAAAGCTCTTATATGGGATGTCCAGTTGTTTGTGTTTTTTTTTTGAATGCTCAAATTTAAATGTACTGACATTTTCACGCAAAGACTGCAGGAAAAGATTAATGAATAATTGCTGGGCATGGAGCAAATTATTACACATAAGAAAAAAGGAATGATATTTATACATATTCTCTGCACACAATACCATGGCGAATCATGTTGTCAGACAAAAAAATTAGCAAATCTGCATGACGTCAGCACTTCAATTGACTATAAAATAACAACCGTCAAGGATGTAGAAACGTCAATCAACACAAACTCCTACAGTCCTTCTCATAACTGTTCAAACCCTTATGATCTGCATCTAGAAACATGTAATCATATTCCCATTTTCGAGACCATTCACTTTGATAATATTTATGATTATAATAATCCATATATCAACGACAAACAAACAATCGGCGAATGTTTGGCTGAAGTGTAGATCGTGTACAAATGAACAAACTTTTTCTGAACATACATAGTCTAGATTGAACTACATATTGCTTAATAGCAAAGTTGCATAACAGTATTTTATTTCTGGAAGTGAAACCATTCAGTGATTAAAATTTTATCATCAGTTGTTGCCAAGACCATCCAACAATTTGTTGTTCGTTTATAAAGGTTGAAAATCATTCAATTTGCATCTCACCTCACCTTCCCATTTTCAATCGTTTGCTCTTTTCGAGACCAAATACTTTACTTATTATCATCGTAGTTTGCCATATTTCTTTTCATAATATCCATGCACGGTCCTAGCAATCGTTCGAACGTGTCAACGTCGAGTTTAGCGCATTTCACTTTGCCTTTAGCATAGACATAAGCGGATCGTGCTTGATTCATTATTAACGCCATTTCGCCAAAATAATCACCCTTCTTCAATACGGATACATCCTTGCTTTTGTTTTCCTTGTCCGAACACGATACGTATGTTACCATCTTCGACGAAATACATGCAGTCGGCGTTGTCTCCTTCCTGGATTATGC